AGATGGAGAGAGAGAGAGAGAGCGGAGGAGGAGGAGGAGGGGAAGGATGCTCAGAATGAGATGCTGCATCAGATAGAGGAGGAGGAGAGACGACGGAGGTAGAGCGGGTCCAGAGGAAGGAAAGAGGAGGGTGGATGAAGGTAGAGAAGTCTGAATGGGAAGGAGCCAAGACCGTCTGCGTCCTTTACTTCTGCTCGGCTGAGCCGAAGAGCTGGCAATCCGTCCAACTGCACCACCCCCCAGACCGGGCATCTGTCACCCCCCCCACCACCACCACCACTCCGGGCCAACGGCACCGGCCAACTCCTCACCACAGTTGTACAACATCCCATAGAGTGGTGCCCAGACTGCAATCATCTCCCTTACATGGCAACGTCTCCCGCCGCCTGCCCGCGTCTGCCGCTCGCCGCTTCCCTCTAATTCCTGGAACTACGAGGTCGATAAGTGATCAGTCAGCAAACACAGCCGAAAAATAAAAATTATCACAGTGCGGACCTACGTAAAAAAAAAAAAAAAAACTGAGCTGCTGAATGCGGAACAGAATGAGCGCCAAACGGCCGAACGCTTAAACACTCCTCACACTTCAAAGTCTGAAACCGATTCACGGCCGGGGAACGTACATGACGGCAAAGACGGTGCGTGCGCAAAGCCCGGCGCCAATACCGCACTTCACCAAACAACACAATGTTACCCATGTGCCGCTTTAAATGCAGAGAAGTGACGTGTAATGAAGTTGAATGTACGCCGTGTGGCTGGACATATTGCAAGGCATGGCCGCCAAAATTTGTGAAATGTGCGCTCACATATGTCAATTTTATATAAGCGTCCATATACACAAATATAGACATAGACAAGTACAAAAATACACAAAAACATACAAAAATACACAATTGTATAGAAAATATAAATGTGTATCTCTGAACATTGTAATTTGTTTACATAGAAACACACACACACATATGTATATCAGTTTAACACAAACGTCCATATATAAACACGGGTGTGCGTGTATATAACGTCTGTATGTTACAGAAAAAAAACTGGAAACGTGTATGTACGCAATTCGTTTCTGTACGTGAGGTGCGGTGTAAATTGCTGGCGCTATAAAATATACTGAACTGGTGTGTCGGAAAAGACACAGCCAGAGGACACTTTGCCTGAGGAAGGGGTCCTGTGAGGCTCCGAAACGTTGCATTCACATGTGACGCTAAAGGCATACGTATAAAAAGGACGTTCCGAAGCAGAATGGTTTGCGGACAACATATCTTCCGGAGAGTCACAGCCGACCTTTCTGAAGTGGTCTTGAGGAAGGTGGACTGGGGGCTCGCCGAAACGTCGGTACAATATAAATAAATATACCGTATACATGATAGACAGACAGATAGATAATATGCAATATATAGAACGTTGTTATACAACACATATCTAAAACACAGCCCGCATTATACATTTCTGCAATGAATTTCCAGCCAAAATGTGAAATGTACACCCCATTGGGGGGAATATATGAAAACTGGAGCTGACACAATCTGGAGCAGTCGTCCGTGGTAACCAATCAGCTTCTCTCTTCAATTTGTTCAGTAAAGCTTTGAAAATGAAACAGAGAAGCTGATTGGTTGCCATGGATGACTGCTCCAGTGTTCATACATTCCCATATATACATATGTGTGTATGTATATACGTATAAAACACTGTATACTATAGAAATATACAATGTCACATTTTATATCTGAGAAATTTGCATGCACAGATATGTGATGAGATAACATGTGCAGTACATGTGTGTGTAAACACTGGTATGATTGAGATATATATATATATATAATTTCACATATTATTACCTACATAGCTTATGTACAGTATGTGTGTGTGTGTGTGTATACATACACACACATGCAAATCTACTGCACAGATTTCCTCATTAAATTGCTATACATGCAAACCTCCTCCTGGCATTTGCAGGATATACATTGGCATGATACATATACGTGTGTATATAGATGACTCATACCAGTATAAATCCTGCAATGCCATATATGCACATGCGTGAGAATTTCATGCATAGAAATGATGATGATGACACGGTCAGCACATGTATGTACACCCCTACATACATGCAACCATCCCCCACAATGCAGCTGTGTGTATAATGCAATGCATGCAGTTGCAGCTTTTGCTGCAGGTGGGAGAATACAGAGTGCCCCCATCACCGAGCACAATGATGGTGATGATGATGATAATAATAATAAGAGATGCCATGGCAGGGAGGTGCAGTGCGGCCCCGGTCAGATGTGCGCCCATGCAGCAGGTGGATGACACATGGATGGGAATGATGAGCAGGAGGGAGACGGTGGTGCAGGCTGTTCGGTCACTGCAGTCTCCTCCATGGAGGATGAAGCAGACAGACAGTCAGCCATGTCTCCCGCATCCCTCTTGCACACGAACACAGGACGGCACGATGGACACGTATGGGTGCGCGCGCGCGCCGTAGCATGTCATAAATACACACATGAAGCGTCACCCCGGGATACAACTCCCATGGTGCACCGTTGCCTCGGGCTGCAGCCTCTGTCTATGCGTCAGTGACCTCAATAAAGTTGCGCGGAAAGACAACCCGTTGCCATAGGGACGCTGCGCGCGCCATGTTGCTGGAGGCGGAGGTAGCGTCCGATCGGCGCCGGAAGTGGACTCTGGCTTACCCGCCCCGGGTGCCATGTTGGTTGTGGCAAAAAGCCGAAGTGGGTTAAATTGCCATGTGAGATTCGGGTTCGGGAGGACAGCTTCCGGGTGAGAGGTCACGGGCGGCTTGTGCACGGTAACGGTGTCCACGTTGTAGGAGGAGTGTTGCTGGGCTTAGTGGTGTCAGAGGCAGGCATGAAGGGGCCCACTTAAAGGGGAACTTCAGGCAATTTAAAAATGGGGGACTTAGTACTGTTTAATATGAATTGCGCCATAAGAAATTTTAAATCTCCAAATTTTCTGTAATCATACAAGATGAGTCAAGTAAATGGATCCCAAATATGTCAAAACTGCATGTGCTCGTGACACGACCGTACCCAAAATTGCCCATAGGTGACACTTTAAAAGCCTTCATGTGGTGGTCAACTGGGAGTTAAAGGTTCCAGAACTAAAAATAAATCTGTATTTCTATTTTCTCAAGTTCTATCCCTCTCCTAATAACCATATCACATCTAGAAGCCGGCCTCCCAGCCAATCAGCATGGAGCTGGCCAAACAGCATGGAAACGGCCAATCAGGAAGCCAGGTGTCGAGTCGTTACCCTCCGCCTGGCTTTCTGATTGGCCAGGAAGTCGGCACAATGTTCCCTTGCAGCACTACTGGTCAGAGGAAATCTCCCTCTGAATGGAAGTTCCGGTATCAGGGTAAGTATCGGAGCATTTGGCTGAGTACCAGTACTCTCCCAAATACTCTGTATCAGCATCGGTGCATCCCTAACTACAACTCAACACCTGAACAATGTAACATCATCTTTGCTTGCTGGAAGCAATGCATGATGGGATATGCAGTCTTGCCGAGAAATGGAGATTGCATGACATCAAGCAGCAGGGAAAGAGACACAGAGCACACTGGGAATCCAGGAAGTTGTTGGAAGTGCTGGGCAGACGGAAGGCAGCACTCCCTACAGAAAAGGGATTGTAGTATGTATTCCTAATACAATGCTGATGTCATAACAGGAGAGGATGTGCTGGGACTTTACAACTTCGTTAACCATAAGGCTATTGGAGCCAGAAACATGTAGTGATGCCCCAAAGCAGCCTCCAGTGATCATCGCTCACCTCGTTCCCCACCGCTTCGGCTCATGGACTGTCCCTCGGTGTAGCTCACGTATGATGCAGGGCTTTGGATTCTGGATCGGACATGATGATGTCAGTGGACCCAGGAGGGGGAAGAGGCTGCGGGTCCCGGTCCTGGAGCCTGCCGCAGCAGGTAAGGTGCAGTCCTTTACACCGCACCCCTATAAATAGGCTTTAACACAGACCCTTTATATAGAATGGGCCCTCAACACACCCCAAAATGGACCTGCACGTACAGGGGAGCACATGACCCCCGAGCAATCACACATGAGTTGTGGCGTGCTACGGCGTGTTTCTTAACCTTTTTTCAGTCACGGGACCCTATAATAGTATGCAAAATCTCGAGGAAGCCCAATTCCCTCCAAAATCCACATCGGACCCTTTTTTAAGATAGTGGTGCAGGTTCGGGTCTTCCTGTAACCACATGCAGCTAAGCCCGCCCATAGGGAAGTCTAGGGGGATGCACAGGATTACACGCAGCGCCTGTCCCTGCATGGCAATAATGATGCCGCCGAGTTCCCGCCAATGACATGGGTGCTGGTGTGACGTTTGCCTCAGGCCCGGGGGTAGACAAACTCCAGCACTCTAGCACTGGGGTCTCCTCCAGGCTCTGTACCTGTGTATGTAAGTTAGCCGCATGAGCAGGGAAAGTCTGTGCACCAACACAGTACTGTTGCTATGATTACAAGCAAGCAACATTTACATTTTTGGCAGCTACAGAATATCATCGCTGGCTGCAGATTGAAGTGGAAACTAATTTTTAATTTGCAATAAATTATAAAATTGGCTTGCCAAGCAGTTGTATACATTTTGTTTTTTAAAGAGACCCTGTCACCTCTTAATACTGATCTGCCCATGCTCCCGTTCTCTATTACAGATACCGCTGCCTGATGAATCTTCAGCGTCCGGAACTAGGGATGCGCCAATACCACTATTTCCAGACCAAGTAGGAGTAGCGATACTTCTCCTCCAGTGCTCGCTAATACCAGTTACCAAAATCATTGGTTTTTGTTAGTGTCATGTGACAGTTTTTCACATGAAAAGCAATACAGACTAATGATTTTAGGACAGTGGTGGAGCGCTAGGGCCAGGTCACAGCTGCAAACGTTGTGCCCCTGGTAGTTCTACCACTGAAGCCAAGCTGTAGAGGGACTACAAATCCCAGCAATACATTATACAGCAATACAGAATAATACCATCATCTATAGAGGACTACAAATCTCAGCAATATATTATACAGCAATGCAGGATAAAGCACAGGACAAAAACAGCAGGCAATATTTCTAACATAGCTGTGGAGCTCAGGTGTTGTTTTGCTGCACCATACCTGTACATACTCTGTGTTGCTGCTCTGCTCCAGGGTGCCGGCCTTAAGTCTCCGGGCGGAAGGTCTTGGGGGAAATGTGCGGAGGGTCTGAAGATGGGGAGACGCATGGAGGGTCTGAGGTGGGGGAGA